TAAATTGTAAATCATCTCTTGCTCTTTCCACAATTAAGTGTTAACTTCTAGGTTGTTTCTTTACCCTATCAGTTTCTGTGAGTTTTGAGCTACTCCACTATTAGTTTTGAGCAACTCCACATTTAAGGAAGTCAACCTCTGAACAAACTTTTTCCTTCCGCTTTGAAAGTTATTCTTTATCTCAGACTCTTTTGTTTGTCTGGTACTAACCTGTAACAGCTTCCAGACTTTTCCTCTGCACCCAGTGCACTTGCCTCACCACATAACCTAGAACATCCTCCCAACACTGTTAGCAAAAAGCTGTCGGATCTGTAGGGCCTGTCCAACAGCTTCCTGCATGGGAAAACAAGTACCTTTGAGCTGCTTCTCTAGTCTGGAGCTCACCTGGTCCTTCTGTCTTTATCGGTGCAAGCAGCAGCTCAGGCTTCTTGCCCAGACACTGCTAGTCAACCACAAACCCAGCCAGTTTGCTCTGAACTTGCTTCATTTGCTAGAGGCATCTACGTGCCTTCTTGCTTGATGCTGTTTTAGGCATTTACCTCTACAGCAGGGCTGGAGTTGATCTCAGCTCCTTCCCATCTCACTGCTGCACTGATATTTGCATCTGGTTGTTAAGGTTTTGGCACAAAAGATGTGGTTCAGTTTTTGCCTTTTATCAGTAGGGGTGTAAAGATAAATGTCTTGTGAAGAAAATCCAGGTCTTACTAAGCTGATTGTAAGGAATATTGTTCATCAGATCTACATGTAAATGGAAAACTTAACAGGACTTCTGGAGCTATGGGTTTAAGTCTGAGATGCAGTGCTGGATACAGCTGACCTGAACTGGAAGATGAATTGATCGTGAGCCAGTGTGGAAGGAAGAGCTGGCAAAGGAAACTCAGTCTTGCTTTGAAGAGGTGTGCTGTGTCACTGCTTCTGCTGGAGGGTTCCTTCGTGAAGTCAGTCTGGTGGTTTAAAACAAACTTCTCATGGATGTGTCTGCCTGTGAGGTGCTCCTCATTTTGGGGTATTCAGTGTAAAACTTGGGGCAAGTGACAAGAGCAAGTGCTTATTCTGGCGCATGCCCCAAACTGCCTCTTCTGGTTCCCTCAGCGTTCTGACCTTCTGCAGAGGTGATTTTGCTGGTTGTGTAGCAAATGCTGAATCTCAGCAGTTCAGTCCAGTGTATTTGGTGTAGTCCTAAATATATTTAAATTGCAGTGGATCACAAATAGAAGAGCCAGTGAACAACTTTTACCCCTGGGTATCTTGGGATGGGCAGCAGTCCGTGAACATGTAGTATCTCACGGAAAGTCTGCAGGTAGAGAGCTGGATATGCTTTTAAAATTGATTCCTTAATAGGTTTATGCTAGCTTACGATGTTTGTTACAACAGCATAGAGCGATAAATTATCAGTAGAAATATTACATACAATTTGGGTGATGCATCCCTTGGGTCATCTATAGCTCTAAGAGCTAAAAGCAGAAACCACCAAGGTCTGTGTTTTAAAGAGATGCAAAGACACAAACTGAGATAAAGAATTGAAAGTATCACCTGGCTGAGAGCAGCTAAGAAGCTGACAGCTGCTAATAGTTCAGTGAACAGTCATGTATTTCTAATAGCTTGATTATACCCAGTAAAAAGCCATACCCTTACAGCTGTGATGATGCTGTCCAGAAGTTGACAGGCAGGAGAATTTGTAATGTGTCTGTTAACTGGGCTTGCTTTGTATATAAACATAACCTCTAAAGAGGGTATGTGCTGTATGGGCAGTACTATTGCCATGAAAGTCCTTTTTTTGCAGTGCTGAAACTGCTGGGAGCTTGCTAGACTCATGACTTTATGAATGAATGAAGGCTCCAGTTATTTTTCAAAGATGAGTTTTTTTGGTTCTGGTTTCGTTTAAGACATCTGGCTGTGCAACCAGAGCTTGAACCTGCAGATAGTGATTGCCACAGGCAGTTGTGTGATGGTCAGTGTTTATCTGGGTTTGTGATACCTGGATGCAGGCTGGGTCCTGATGATTGTGCTGAGCAGGGATTGCCCTCCGGTGCAGGGTGCAGGTTGGAGGTGCAGCATGAGGAGTGTGTAGAGAGAGGCAGGAGACGTTCCAAAGCCTCCCAAGTTCGGTATCAGGGTTAAAAGAGAACAACTATGTTCTGTGATTCTGAACTACAGGTCAAAAATCAGTTGCTTCTACTGTGACGTGGATTTTGTGCTTTTTTTCAGGAGGGTAATTACAGCTGTCAGCGTTGTAATTTTTTTTCCGTAGATGTTGATTTCCTGTGCAAATGAAGACTGCTTTAAAAAAAACGAAACACAACAAACCATAAACCAAATACACACTGCTTCCAGTTCTTCGCTACGTTTATCTACAGTGTCAGGAGCGCTTTGTCTGCATCCGTCTCGCTGCAGGGTCTCAGTGCAGCACTGCACAGTGAAGCATCACTGTAAGTAATGTCAGGAGTCAGTAATGCCCAAATATATGTATTTTACACTGCTTAGGGTATTTTTCTGCTCTGTTTATCCTGCATTAGGATAAACATTCCACACAGTGTCTCTAGTGAGGAATTTGTTGTACATGTGTTCATCTTACTAAAATGCTTTTTGACTTTAAATGCCCATATCCTGTTCTTCACTACAGGATTGACCTCTGTAGGCTTTCATAGCAGCAGAACTAGCAAGAAATTTTTAACCTGTGGATCATGAAATAATAACTTAATTTGAAAGAATAGCATAGCTTACAGGGAGTAAAATACAGAAAAATGCTTTTGCTAGGTTTTCTGTTCAATGTTCGGCAGTATAAATTTAATCTTGATGTGTGTCACATGCCACATTGAACTACTGTGCTAGAGAAAACACATTTTCAGGGAAATGCTTCCCATGCATATGTGGCCTTTTGTGGGAAAACAACAGTGGATGCATGCAGTCAGATCATTTTACCTTCTTTCTACAAAACCATGTAAAAGAACCAGAGTGGGAGGAGAAGGTCACTGTGGAAGTGTGGAGACAATCACTTGGAAGAGGATTTAGATTTGGGGGTTAGTACCAGATCAGGAGCACTGCCTAACAGCCTGGGTTACAGACCAAAGCTGTGTGTAAGGTGAAAACCCAGGATGAAGTGATTGAGAACAGCAAGGAGAGAGCTGTAGAGAATGCTACCAGTGAGGCAGTGACCTCTTGTTTTGCAGAAGTGCTTTATGAGTTGAGACCTTTATAAGTGAAAACCTCCAGCTTAAAGTCAACAAGAGACTCTGGGACAAGCTAATAATAAAATTGATGCTTATAGGAGAGAAAAGGTATGAGCTTTTCACCTGCATGGTTAGAGCTAACTGCAGGATGAGGTCAGACTGATTTAGGTAACCATAATGCATTAAAACGGGGCTAAAGGTTGGACCTAGTCTGCCTAGAAACAGGTCAGTGAGTAGATCTACTTCGTGTTGTTGTCAAAATGCGGCTGCACGTTGGTGCTGAAGCCGCCTGTGATGGGGCAGAGTCTGGCACTGCAGGTGCGGGGAGACCCTCGCTTCTCCCCAGCTTAGCACCCGGGGTTTGAACGAGGTCACCTTTAATAGATTGAACGTGTCCTGGTGTTTCTTAATGTCTGTGAATTCATAGACATTTCAATGTTAAGGCTTTCCTGTTAATTTTTTCTTCATAGTGTGTGTAGATACCTGTAGTTGTCATTCAGTGTTTGCCTACTCCTGTTTAGATACTTACCTAGTCCCCAATTTTTTCTTTTTTTATTACCTATGACAAAAAACTAAGTTTGGAAGAACTTAGTTTCTCTTTGAATTTCTCTCCTTCCCAGCTTGTTTGTAGAGCAGGAGATTAGCAAAGTGTTTCTTTTGTTCCTTTTTCCCCAGGTTTTTATCAGCCCCTTGGCAAGAACACCTGAATACCTCCAGAGTGTTTATCTCATCTGCCTTTAGAGCACCTCCCTGGGATGGAGGAGTGTTATGGGCCCCATCTTGCAAGTGCCTGGGAAAATAATTTTAGATCACTTTAGGCACTGGAATCTGAACTCTGGCATCTTAAAGCTCAGTCTGGTATATAAATCACTAGCTTTTCCCTTACCCAAGACTTCTTCAAACCCTCATTTACTATCTTCACAAGGGATTTTAGCTTTTCTGAGGCTAGGAAGTGGAGAAAGAAATAAGCATTATTGAGTCTGACTAGAATCACTGTTTTATTTGTTTCTCAGTTTTTAATTTGCAAGTGTAGTAAGGAAATATTTACATCAAATACAGAGCTGAAGAAACAGAACTCATTTTAGTCAATCAACATGTCCCATGTCGGTATGCTAAAAGTTCTGCTTAACTAAAGCAAGTGACAATTTTTTTTTCCTAACTATTCAACCATTTCTTCCAGAAAGAAAGAAAATCCCAGCTTCCTTGCTCAGACGAAACTCCTGCTGAAATCAGTGGAAATGGGGCTAGCAGCAGAACAAGGATAGCAAGAGGCAAACGGTGAACCTTAGCCCCCAGGACTGTAAAAACCTAAGTAAGGCCCTTCAATCCACATGTACCTTCTCAGTGCAGCCTCGTGTTATATTAGGTGAAACAGTAAAGCTCCTAGGAGACACGTGGCGCCATGAAAAGAGGGTGTGTTAACTGAGGGATTTTGTTTCTAAGTTGGTTTGCATCAAATTCAAATTTGGGCTGCATTTTATAAAGAAGTATTACACCCACTTGTACAAAGGTCTGGCTAATAATCCTCATTTCTCATCAGCTTATCACTAATACATGTCAGCATCGGGATTGATCCGCCTGAACCGTGGAGCTCCATCACTGGGAACAGAGGTGGTGTTTGGCCTTGGGAATTGATTTGGAAATCTCAGGTTTGGTAATGAGCTGTGCTTTAGCGTGCAGTTCACAGAAAAAGTGCCTGTTTGCTGTCCATGTGTCTCTGCTCCATCTCTTCAAATTTGTCAGGGTGCAGTGCATGAGAAGTAGTAGTAATAGAGATAACGTGGGGGATGAGCTTATGCTCCCAGAAGGTGATCCAGAAGATGCAGATGCTTATGTACGTTGTCTTGGCATGCTAGGTTTCACATTGGGCTTCCCATTCACAGGTCTAGAGAGAAAAGGGTTTGATTTACTTTCATATGAAAGGAATAAGAAGGCAATTAATGTATGGCTGCTGATCAGTGTGTTTAGACTTGGTCTGCAGCCAGAGGAGTCTTGCAAAGTATTCCTAAATCCTCTTTGTGCTGGTGAAGGATCTGCCAGCATTTCAACTAGTGACAGCTGGTAGAAGGACTTAAACTGCTAATCAATTGTTACAACAATAATTTAAAAAAAAAAAAGTTGTTTTTTTTCTATTTGCCTCTGACTTCTGCACACTCCTGTCCTCTCCTCAAACCTTTCTCCCCATTCAGAAATGAATTAAGAAAGAAGAGCGCAGGGCTCTTTTGGAGTTGGGGAAGTTGTTACCAGTTCATAAGGACTTTTTCTTGTTGCAAACCAGTTTTCTGCAGAGCAGTTTAAAGGGAAGCTTTCTAGACTACCGGCGTGTTTTCAAAATGATAGAAATTACTGGTCTCCAGCAACTGATAGCTTCATGCTGATTTAATGAGTTGGAGATCTGGCACCCGTTTTCGCTGAAGATTAATTTGTGGTGGCAAATGAATCCTTCAGCTGCCAGCAAGAATCCCAGGCCAGATCCTGAGGCGGTCTTTAATTGAGTGAATTGCGCTATTAACTTCCGAAGAGCTTCATTTCAGTAAGCGGGAACTGCTCAGAGCAGCAGGAATTTCCTCCCCTAAATAAAAGCTTAAATATGCTACAGTTGCTTAAACCAGAGCCCTGTCACGTTAGCGCTGCCAAAGGAAAGCTGTCCTTGATGAGATGGCTTCCTGAGGCACTTGTAACCCAACTGCTCCATCGGTGCAAAATGAAGAGCTCCGCAGTGTGGTTCCCCCCCCCCCCCCCCCCC